TACTGTAAACGCGTGTACTGTAAACGCGTGTGCTGTAAACGCGTTTACTGTTAACGCGTGTACTGTAAACTGTAAACGCGTGTACCCGCCAACAACTTGTTGGCGGGGAGCGGATCTTGGGTAGCGGACTAAAGCTAACAAGGCTGGATACCAGGCTAACCCATCACGGCATGCTTACGGGTCCTCCATCACGGTCTCTGACGGCGTCACAACCGGCTACCCGTCATATCACGGCTCGCTACCGGGTCCCCATCTCGGCACACTCCGTCCTTCCTAAAATTATTTATCATAGAATTATCATAGACTTATGGTCACTTATGTGTTATTCGCTCGGTTTTACAGTAACATAATACTATAATACAGTGTTCTTTGCTACTTTTTGTTCAATGTATGATGGATATGTGTGTGACAATTTTTCAAAGTGACGTTTTATATACTAACGTTAGTATATATTGCTTTCTTTTTAGGACAATAGCAGCAAAACTTAGCGTTTCAAGTTATTACTGCAAGTGTTTTGTATTCACAACAGTTATTTGCATTCCACCTAGGCTTAGTTTAAGTCTATGATGCAAGTGAGAGTAAAACTTTTGACCTAAGAGTTTTAATTATACCTGTATAATTAAAATGATTTGACAAATCACTCTTGTTTATTTGTAAAAACTTGATGTTTCTAGTTTTATCTAAAATAATGCATTTCTGTGAAATGTCAAAAGGCTGATATACCTGTTTGTTGAATCTTGTTTTCTGTTATATTAAAATCTGTTTGAAACAAATATGAAGCTTTGTGTCTCGTTTGTGTGTGTGTGTGTGTGTGTGTGTGTATTTCTATCATATTGGATCATATTGGGCAGTTGTGCAGACCGTCAGAGAAGCCTGGCTGTTACTCAGAAAGCAGTCACCTCAACATCTGCTTGGAGCCCTTATCCGTAATCTCCAAGCAGATACATGTATAAGGATCCACTCTCATGAAGTTACTTGTAATGGCTAACAGCCATGTCACATGGATGAGTTATGATATTATATTATCTCGGTTCAGTGTTTCTCGTCCTTTAAAATCATCCTTTTATTACGATTATTTTATAAGAAATGCGATAGACGGAAGGTTGCTGTGCCCGTCGTGTGGCGGTTCCAAACGCCGCGACTTCCGAAAAAGTCGCCCGGGAGGACACGTTTTCAGACACAAACTACCTCCCACCTTCCTTCTTATTACTTGTATCATCAGGTTTCTGAAATAAGAGAGCGTATACAGTAACAATCCTCCAGCACAGTAAGTTACGATTTCCCCCTGGCATCTGCTTGGTTTTCATTCATATGGTAATGTATCCGACAGCGAAAACTCTACTTCTGCAAAGACTTTGACCAATTCTGCAAGCGATCAGCTGATCGCAAAATCACGTTTTGACGTATAACTCGAGATCGAAGAAAATTTGTTGGGAGGCAATAAGTAGGAATATAGTGGAGACCATTAGGAGTATACTTTGAAAAGAATGAGGCCGAAAGATGACAAAAGTATTATTTTTCTAAAATTGAAAAAGCGGAAATTCATCCCCTATCACACCCCCGTTTTCGAGTCCCGGTTTCAGAAAGGCCCGTATCTCGCTAACGAAACCTCGCTCATTCCCAGATTTGGCCATTTCGCGAGTGGGGAAACGCGATGGGCTCTTATGGGGGTTTTACTTCAGGTCTTTTCGGCTCTCATTCTTGACCTTGAAACTATTTCTGACTACCAAACTACAGGTAATAAATCACAAATGGTCTATTTTATTAAAGGACTTTTAATTGTAAGCCTTTCTTTACCAGAGGAGCTTGTACGAGCGGTTAAATCTGGAGCTTCTTAGTCATTTATCACCGACGTTTTGATGCATATATTCTCTCTCTCCTATGATTACATCCAAGGAGACTGTCCCAACTTTGGTTTTTAAATTTTATAGTCGCGGATGACTGTTTTTAAGAATGAATGAAAGACCATTATTGTACATTTTTTCTCATTGCGAACTAAGTACAGGTCCATGGTAAATAGCGATGGTAGACTGAAATTTATCTATAGTTCTGCTTCTTCTCGCTTCTTAAGACAGTTGAAAATGTAAAAACAGATGGAGTTTATAGTACTAGGATTATCGAGTTTCATGAGGAAGGTGAATTTTTCTTTTCTATTCGTTCTTTAAGACAAGTACGCAATTAACGTCGCCGACCAGCTCCAACCCGTGACAGATGACTTAATCTGAAATACCTTCAGTATTGTACATACCACGACGGGCTAGGTACAGGTCAAGACTTAACGGACACATAACAAACGTGTGTAGAAAACATATACATAAGGAACATACAAGGATACTATACTAGGCTAATACAAAGTGTTATAGTTACTGATCTAAGACAGAGTGTTCAGCTTCTTCTCGCTTTTTTTTGTACAATGGAAAATGAGGGAACAGATCATGTTTGTGATGACATGTCTCACGGCTATGGCCTGTGTCAGGTCAGGAGGCCACGGTCGGCTGTGTCGGTAATTAAGTAAACTTAAAAACCCGCGAGGAAAACTGAACAAACGTCACAAGACTTCTTGGTCAACAACATATGTCCAGTTCCCACTGTGTCCCAAACACAAATAATGAATGAACGAACGAACACCTTTATTGTACATATACATAATATTATCCTCTACCAAGCTTCAGAAGCGGCTGGAAAGAGTAGAAATTGGCCAAATACCGTGACAGATAACATACAAGGGAAGTTGGTCCACTGAGAAGTACATTCTGGAGGCGGCAAAATCTAACTCCGGGAAGGACCCCTACTCTTTTCGATAGTGCGGTGGGTTCTTTAACGTGCGTGGGGTATGGCTCTCCCCAAACACGGGACCTCCATTTAACGTCCTATCCGAAGGACGTACCTAACCGAAGCTAGGTACTCATTTCCACCTGAGTGAAGTGAGGAAAGTCGTGTAAAGTGCCTTTCCCAAGGGCACAAGATCGGTGACATGGGCAGGATTCGAACCCGCGACCTCTTGGGTGTGAGCTGAACGCGCTACTGCGCCACACGACCCCACTTTGACGTATACGTGAAGTAAACATCGTCGGGTGTTTAGTTTACACAGAGTCCCGTATCTCATCCGGTTCCGCCGCGCCCCCCACTAGCTTCCTAACCGGTAGTACGGGGCATGTATATAAGGTGTTCCCTGTGAAATCTTCCACATTGTGCAAAAGTTCTCGGTGAATGAAAATGTACTCCTGGATTCTTGTAGCGGCGCTCGCGCTTCTGCGTGGAGGTAAGTCTTCCTTTTGTACATAAGGGAAGTGTTAACGCGTACAAAAATATAGTAAATACAGAGGGTTTAAATTGGAAAAATGGATTGAAAACCGTGTACGTGATAGCATAATGTTGCACAACGTAAAAAAAGGCACCACATTGGCTGAAAAGTCACTGGTGTATAAAATGTTGTCACAAGAATGCAGGTTCCAACCCTGACCTACAGCCGACTTTTTACATATATTTTTAATTTAGTTCCGAAACTGTGGCAAAGTGGGTAGTTGGCCCACTTTTGTGTCACAAGGTTGCGACTTTGAGTCCTGACATTGCTGGTGTGGTGTTTTAAATCCCGCCATTCGCGCGCTACTGCCGTACTGGAAGGGACTGCAGTCCTTTGGAAAATATTAAGGGCATGGGTAGATCAAATAAGTCGCTCCACATAATACAGGTTGTAGTTACCTCACTGAGGACAAGCAATACCAATAAACAAGTTAACTTTCGACTTACACGTTTCTCCCGGCCAGTGTCTGGTCAGTTCGGCATCTGTGCGGAGATGTGCGTGGCCGGAGGGTGTCCAGACGGTCAAGCCTGTCTGTCCAACGGCTGTGGTCACACCTGTCAGGACGTCCCGACAACCACCGTCGGACTGGAGCGTAAGTACCATCAGATTTTCTTCAATATTACCTACCCAGGCCACCCTGTATCTGCTTGGAGATTGAAAGTTTCAGGTCATTTGACCCCAAAAGTTAAACTCAATTTACGAAATGGCTGGGCAAGAAGGAGAAACATATTGCAGGTGTTGAAGCTACATGTGCACGGCATTACTGTCATATCGGCTTGGGAGTTTATCTGTGTTCGTGCGAAGTTATGATGATTGTTAGTAGGTAAACCTTGTCGAAAAAACCAGGCCCGCTATATTTTAGGAGGCTCCTAAAAAGAATTTAAACAAACAGCGGTATTCCTTCAGGTATCTTTGGCAACTTCAACACGTTTTTGCGGCGCAACGACGTTGATCTTTTACTCCCCAAATGTCATTATGAACCCAGGTAGGCTTATAGCGCAAGAAAATGTGTAAAACGGTGTTTAAAATAGTGGGAAAATCTTACATAATATCATATGACAAAAAGTTCTAAACGTTCTTGCTAACACTGAGTAAATTGGGACTTACCCCAAATTTCCTGGTAGCTGCAGTAGAAGGGTCCATTCCGTGAACAAGGCCGACTTAGTCCCAATTTACTCAGTGTTGGCAAGAACGTTTAGAACTTTTTGTTATAATGAAGTATACCAACACAGATGAACTGGCTAAGATGATACCAGATGTTTGTTACCTGACTGTTGTCCTGCAGAGTTCTGTCCGGACACGACCGGTATGATCGGGATCTGTGTGGAGGGCTGCGGGTCCTTCAGCTGGGGCGGGGACTGGGCCCTGCAGAAGTTTGGCAACTGTCCCGCAGGCCAGGCGTGCTGCTCTAACGGCTGCGGACACGTCTGCATGCCCGTACAGCAACACCGGGGTAAGCACGGAGTCAATATAATAACTAGCTAGAAAGGTAACATTTTCAAAGCAAATGCATAATGTTTATCTTCGCATATGGTCTGCAAGTAAGCAAATAAGTCTTTCTTTATTGTGCAATGGAAACAACCCCAGCTGTCAAGGAGGTAATGTAACAAAAAACAGAGAAAACAGCTGCCAAAGAGAGAGAGAGAGAGAGAGAGAAAGATACCAAAACAATACCTGCATTTTTTGTGGAGGTATTCAAGCTATCTTTCCAACAGTACTTGTATCAAATTTAGACAAATCAAATCGCTATAGACTAATAGTAATTCCTAAGGAATAAAAAAAAAATCTATTGAATATTGAAATGTTTCCTCCTCTGTTAGTGATCCCAGCTGGTCGTCAGGACTTGGCCGATCTTATCCAGGATTTGACCGACCTCCCCATCATGTGCGCTCTGTACTGCCCTTGCGGATATAGCGGGCCCTGCAGCTGCCAGCAATGCGTGCTGGAACCCCTGGTAAAATATGCTAGTTTTCAGCATCATCATTTTGGTACTTGGAGATCATGAAGAATTAAATTGTACCTAACGCACACACACTTAGGCCAAATCAATAATCTGTTGGTTGACGGATTTGCCCGCTTCATTTTTTAATAATTTGCAAAAAAAAAAAATGTTAGCCTCTGAATTAACTCCAAATGCTCATATTTTGGCCCCAACTGTTGAAGAAAGTCCCTTCTCTTCAGAGTTGTTACAGTTTTGCCGTTTATCAATGCAATGGTTTGATTAAAAGTTGGAAATTCATTGTTTGAATTCCAAAAGAGCCTGGTATGTTGACTTCATGGCTCCTATCATAGCATTTGGGTCTAGGTCTGTTTTTATCTTTTCGCACTCTCGCTTCATTTTTTTTCTGAAAAACTCAGAGAACCAACAAATCAAATTGGTGTGGCCTTACTTTTAAAAGTATTCTCCAAGCTTCTGCCCGCTTCCAAAGTCATTTATCATGTCTTGTAATTCATATTTGCTTCATCATAGATGCACATGAATACCAACATCATGGTTTCATATTGGTTTATATAGATATGACATTACTAATATAGACTCTATCAAACACAGTGAGGTTGGTTTACTATAACAAATACATGAAGATGTTATATATTATAATATCACTAAGATTCTTTAGATAACTACTTAACATATTGTTCTTTTTTTTTTATATCATGACAGGAAGAATTTCCAAACCTGCCCATTCTGTCTTAAGAGATGACACCCTTCATCATGACATCCAGACAGGCATGAAGATAACAAGTACTGTTATAAGATAACAAGCTTCATCGCAATAAATCTCATACCTGTGTGAAAAATTTGAGGGTTTTGTGAATTTCTTGTTTTTATTCATTATTGTGAATTTCTTGCTGATTCTAATAATTCCTTTGAAGACACCAAATGAAGGTATCAAATAAATTGTACATATATACACACACACACACACGCACGCACACACACACACACATGCATACACACACACACACACACACACACACACACACACACATACATACATATCCCGGTACATCCACACACATACACATACATCCACACACACAGTACATATGTACCGGTAGATACTATTGATTAATATAATAATAATTTTTTTTTTTTTATCTTTGGCAGCTTTCGCTCTGCAAAAATCATCTAAACAAACTAGTTGGCCTCAATGACACATTTTAGATTCTCAGTTTGAATATATAAGTGGCAGCAGCTATGTCATGTAAATGCCTCCGCCCCGAAGGTGTTGCCAAAAAAAGCGTCAACCAGCAATCTGTACATGACGAATCTTGACATGCCGTGCCAGGTTTCTCTTAAACATGGCTGAGTAGTCACACTGGTGGCACTTGTACTGGTGCTCAGAGCTGTGTGTCAGCAGGTGCTGCTTTAGGTGATGCTTCCGCGTAGCTGCGTAGTTACACTTGCTACACTTGTAAGGTCTCACACCGGAGTGAATCCTCATGTGGCGGTTCAGACTGGACCTGTCGGCTGTCCCGTACCCGCACTCCCCACACACTAGCGGCCGCGCTCCCGTGTGTATGGACAAGTGTCGGACAAGGTTGTCCTTCTGAGCCGAGCAGTGTTCGCAATACGGGCACTGGTACGGCTTGTGTCCCGTATGAGTCCTCATGTGCTTCGCGAGGTTGGACTTGCACGACATTCGGAGTCCGCACACGGTGCAAGCGAACGGTCGTGATCCTTCGTGCATGGCAAGGTGTCGATCTAAGCCCTGTTTCTGCGCGGCGGCGTAGTCACAGACAGGACACTTAAACGGGCGTGCGCCGGTGTGCTTCCTCATGTGTTTGACCAGGTCACCCCTGTAAGCCACCCTGTGTCCGCACTCCCCACACATGAAAGGTCTCTCACCGGTATGAAGGCACAGGTGAGACTCCAGCACGTGTTTCCTAGTCGCGGCGTAGTCGCAGTGTGGACAGGGGAACGGCCGGTCGCCCGTGTGCGTCCGCTCGTGGATCCGCAGATGGGCCTTTCTGGTGAAGCCTCGGCCGCAGGTCACGCACTGGTAAGGTCTCACACCAGTGTGAGTCTGCACATGGCGCTTCAGGTTCCGCTTGTCTTTCGTGGCGTGGTCACAGTGAGGACACTTGTGTTTATGTTCAAGCTTCACTTTTGTTGACGCGTTTTCTTCAGTTTGTTCCATCTGGAAACAAAGATGTTGATATTGTAACAATATGGTCTTTCTGGGTAAATTTGGACTATTTATGATATATAACTTTAATACTAAGTATTCAAATTCTTATCAAAGAATGTCAGACAGACATTATTTTAGCCATCTCTGTAAATCTATGCTCCACCATAGTGTTATTTTATTCAGAAAATTCTATCAAAATGGACCCTGCACTATATTCATTAAATCTGCAACATTTCCAATGGACAGGTGGATATTATCAATATCTACATGTATTGCTGACACCTGCTGGCAAGCTACTACATGTACATGGTGTAAGCTAGTGCTTTTCTGAAAGCTCTACATACAACAGTCAAAAGAGGAGAATTTTACAGTTTACGAAAGCTTTTTCCAAGTTCCAACCCTTCACCGATGTCTCAGTGCTCAGTTTTGCTTTCCTATGGTTGACAGTCTTTAAACTTCAGTGTGATACCCATCTAGGAAACACAAGACCTGAGCTATAACTAGTACTACGTTGTCTTCTAACCTTGTGTTGCGGAAAATTATAGCATCAAACGTACCTTAGGGTACTCCTGGTAACGTGAAAAGTCAGAATGGCTTCACATCGGTCTCTAAAATCGCAAAAATCACCCTGAGAATGACAGGAAAACAGTCCGGTTTAGCTGGCACTGGACGACAGGGCTTGGATTGTACCACCATGGATGTAGGGGGTATTTCACAACAAGTTTTTACAGTAGATACTTTCCAAAACGAATGCTAGTATATCAGAATAGGGAAACTACCACAAATTATTTGGTAAAAAAAGAGATATTCTTGGACCAATGATAAAAAATCATTTGGTAGAAAATACAGACTGCTTTATTTTTAATAGACTACATGTATTTTGCGTTTTATCCAGCCATTTTCAATGGCCCACTGAAAGAAAATTGTAGTAAGTATCGACCAGCATGATTCTGTTTTTCTCAATCTTGTTTTCGTAAATCTTTTCTGTGTAAGCCATAATTTTCGATATCCTACTTTTCTAGTTACGCCCCTATGTTCCTCTTGGTTCGTCCCTGAGTTACCTTCCCGCTGAGGTCGCATCTTGATTTAATTATCAAGCAGATGTGCGGAGGGCTCATTCTCGTGGCGTCCATCATGGGTACTAGTAGTTTCTAGCTGGTAGAAACTTGAATCCATAGCAACTTCTGGATTTTCGCATTCAATTTCCTGACCATTCTTTTTAGTATAGTACATGTATTACTACTAATACTAGTAATCCGAATCAACCCCGTGTTTTGCTTCCAATCTCTCTCTACCGTCTGGCAATCATGGAGAGAGAGAAACACGGACCACTAAAAAAAGCGAAAAATTCCGCAAAATCACGTGTAAACAAGGGACCCTATATCTGCTTTGATCGCGATCGCAGGCTCCAAATCGTAGCAAAACTGAACGACTTTGTTTTGCTCAGTTGAAATGTAAAAGAAAAGGGACAAACGATGGTCCAGTCACTGTTAAGTGCAATGGCACTTTATAATACTAGTACATGTAGAAGCATTGTATGGTGCAAATACAACGAAAATATAAGGGAACGTCTATAAGAAAATGGTAAAGCTACTATTGTAGTATTAGTCATTTTGTACATCGTGCATAGTCTTGTCTTCCAGCGATTGTTGAGATTGCGCTGCGAGAGTGCGGATATTTCGAATCCTGACGCATCTTCACAATTTTACCACCCAACCACGTAACTATCCACACGTCAGCCGGATGTCCGGGATCTGTGTACATGTGTGCGTGTCTCATCCCACGTTTTGTCTGTCCTACCGTCACTCCAACTCACCTGGTCTGTCCCACACCGTCACTCCAACTCACCTGGTCACCATGAAGGACCTCCTCAAACTCCTGTCTCTGCTCGCCTGCCTAGTCTGCGCCGCCGCCTTCAAACCGCCCAGTATGTTCGGCGGAAAGTTACTGGTCACCAAACAGGTACTCACCTGGCTTCTACCAGGCTTCGGGAGGCGGCTGGAAAGAGTAGAAATCGGCCAAATAGAGATAACATACCAGGAGAGTTGGTCCGCTAGAGAGTACATTTTGTCCGCTGGAAAGTACAGACCAACTCCCTCGGCGCGGCATTTTATCTCTCTATTTGGCCAATTTCTACTCTTTCCAGCCGCCTCCCGAAGCCTGGTACAGGCTAACACCCACCCACTCTAGCACTGTTTATACTTTTACATTACGTTTATGCATTACTGTTAGTGCCAGTATTGTTTAGTCTATGCTTTGCCAGAACTCCCAGGGCCGGTGCGGGAACCACGGTAAGAAACAGTGGTTACGCCGACGCTCTAACGATTCGGCTAAAAGGTCTAGACCCATCGGCCGGCCGGGTCAGTTGGTAGCGCCTACAAACCCCCCACTGTTACGTAAGTTTAGAATCTACTTTGCGTCTATATTTCTAACATCTGCGTCGGTTACTGTAACTTTGCAAGACGCGATGTACGTGTAATGTATGTATGGGATGGAAACAGGCGGGAAACGTGGATATTATGAATAGTGTAACGCCACATCGTTCTTTGGTTTGTATTAATAAAAAATCGTCAATGACAAGGACTCTATGGTACGGGTTATGTCATGATATTCTGATGACCCCGCTACTGATCAACAGATAGGAACCAGGATGTGGACAACACATCTATGAATCAGTCACCTCAAAGACTACGATGAAGTCAACAAACGTAGCGTTTTTTCTAAACACCATTCACCCAAAGTCATTTGTTTATACAACACCCGATAGCTCTACTCAGAAATGTTTTACTTCAACCGTTTGGCTAGTCATAGAAATTGTGAAAAGATGTCTGCGAATATCAGCAATGCATAATATCTAAGCAGATACAGTTGTAAACCATTATTTTCAATAACTCATGCTACTGCCTTGCAGATATACATGGATATTGACGTAGGCGGCCTCAACATCGGCCGGATCGTCATTGGACTGTTCGGCAGGGTAACTCCACTGACTGCCGAGAACTTCCGAATCTTATGCGTGGTAAGAAACATGTCAGTTTTTATAGCGATAGAGGGGGGGGGGTCGCTTATTAAGAATGTTATGAAAGAATGCCTTTATTCTCATGGAAGTTCATCTGTGTTGGTAGTTACATATTTAAAGGTTAAATCTTTGTTCAAACACAAAAAGGCAAAATGTAGTGTTTTCTCCTAGTCCTAGAGCTTTCGACCAGTCACTCTGGTCTTCCTCAGTAGACTGACCCAGTGAGACTTGTCACGTGGCTTCTTTGAAGTGTGATGTCAACACTGGGACAATCACCCTTCACTCAACCGCGACGGGGGATGACATCGTTTACAAGATACCTTTTCAGTGCTGACGTCACACTTCAGAGAAGCCACGTGACAAGCTTCACTGGGTCAGTCTATATTGAAGAAGACAGGATGACTGGTCGAAAGCGCTAAGCTTTAAACATGTTGCCACCAACGTAGATGAACTTTCATGTCAACAGTCATTATTGTGAATGTTTGTCAATAAATATCTGTTTTTTCCAGGGTGAACAGCCACACAGCTACATCAACACACCCTTCCACAGGGTAGTTAAGGGGTACTTCATCCAAGGTGGTGACGTAGTCCATTTCGACGGCACTGGAGGTACAGTACTGTAGGAACTTTACAGTCTAAATCCCTTCTGCTATAAAATTGCAACATGGTGTAACCCAACACTAGTTACCATGGTGACAGATGCCTGGCTCAGGTCATTGACCTTATTTGTTTGGAGAAGAGGAAACAGAGCAAAAACAATGTTTTCTTTCTGCAAAGGTAAACATAATTACGCTCTGTCCTTTCTTTTTTGTGTTGAACAGGAACCAGTGCCTTTGGACATGTATTTGATGATGAGAATTTCCAGCTGAAGCACTGGGGTGAGGGTTGGGTGAGCATGGCCAACGCTGAAGTACCCAACACCAACCAGTCTCAGTTCTTCATCACCTTAACCAAGTGTCACTGGCTGGACGACAAACATGTTGTGTTCGGGAAGGTCTTAGACGGAATGGTATGTTGGTATAATGGGGTTCTCACCAGAATTTTTTTCAAAGCATATTATAGGGTCAGGTACAGAAAGACAATTTTCTGTGGTGCAAGTCCAGTCCAGGGGTTTAGGTTTTACAAGTCCGGACCTAAACCCATGGCATATATAAAACTGCATGTTGGCAACAGAATACTGTTTACACAAATCTTAGCCATCAGTCTAAATTACCACTCATTACAGTTACACTAGCTAGACCAAACCAAAGACATTCTCTGCTTAGCATTCAGCACTTTCAGGAAGTGTATCACATACAGGTACATTGTAGTTGAAAAGTGGACCAACTGGACTAGCTGCTTTAATGCTTGCACAACAGGGAACTGCCCTATATGTGGGAAGAATTTGTAATAACTCAAACTTAACAAGGTAAACTCTATGTCCTTTCCCCAGGACATTATACGGCACATTGGAAACATGGAGCTGGATGACAGAGAACGACCCAAGCAGGACGTCACCATATCTAGCTGTGGGGTACAGAAAGCCGGCATCACCATGGTGGATGTACCAAAAGGACATGATTCCGATGAATTCTAACAAACTTTCTAAACTTTTTTTTTTTCAACTTTGAATATATTGTACTTTGAATGAATGTGTATTAGACACTGGACCCCATTTGCTTACCCTAAATGTGAATGTGCACAGCACTTTAGTTTAAAGATTAAGCTTATTACCAACGCAAAAGAGAACTCCAGAAGTTGGAAGCTCGTGATGTCATCGCACTTCTGACTTCCAGTGAGTCAGCGAGTGGATCACACATTTGACAAAGGTTAACAAGATCGACTGAAAATTTATGAGTTCTCTTTTTTGTGTTGGAACTAAGGCCATGTTGATTTGATTATATGGATGACATCCGCGCGCGCATGAATTTTCGGCCGTTTCCAAAAAAAAAAAATTTTCAACCATATTGTAAATCGTACAAAACAGTTGCAAAATGAGCAAAAATATACCGTAAGTTACAAAAAAAAATAAATAAAAACTATACCAATGTCGTAGAATGCCAAAATCGAACGAAAAAAAGACCAAATTGTAAAGAAACTAATTCGAAGAGTTACTGTAGATTATTTGCCAAACCATATTCTGTCCCATTTGTTCAACCCTCATGACCACGTAGATTTCAGAATGAAAACAACTTTTTTTTTTGCAAACCTTTTTTTTTTATTCGCACGCGCGCATCAGTTTTGGGGGTCCTGGAGGATGTCATCCATATAATCAAATCAACATGGCCTAAGCTCAAACTACAACAGGATTCTACCAACCTGCAACACAGACGAGCTTTCATTCAAGCACTTTAGTTTGATATTTGCAATTCCCAGTTTGTGCAGTTGTGTCTGTGTTCTTAGCAACTAGAGCACCCTAACTGATACACATCCACAACGTTATGGTAGTCATTATAAATATAGTGGTTATAACTTATAGGTAAATCCAAGTCATTTCTGCTACATTGAACATATCCATCTTTTTTATGTTGGATTAACGAAGTCAACAAACAAAAATTATTCTGCATCATTGTCTTTACTTCAGGAATACATAGAAGTACCATAAACCATTCTACATGTTACTCAATACAAAATTTATAGAATTACAAAGCTACAATTAGAATTAATGTTGGATGATTAATAAAATATGCTGATGCTGAACTTAGATGCTATATTCTTTTTTATAGATTGACTTAAACCCTTATTTGTAAATAGATGTCATACACCACAATACTTAACATCACTGAGCCTTGGACACTGAAGTTTGGTCTTAAGAATTTGACACCAAGGACACAAATTTAAGGCACATGTGAGCATTAACTCCCCAAAGATAGACCTTCTCACTTATTGATAATTGAATAATAATATCACGATTCTGCAGACAAGACCTTTGTACCATCAGCGCTGGATCTTTGCTGTGAGGTTTGCGATTTCTTCAAGTAGCTTCCTGAAATTTACAAAAAAAAAGGTGTTCAAATAGTCTGACAATTTGCAAAGTGGTGGTCTTGTGCTTAAGGTTGTTGACTCAGAATCTGAAGGTTCTGGGTTCGAAACCCAGGCAAACCCCTTGGGAAGGGCACATCTATTTCCTCACTTGACTCAGGTGAAAATGAACATCCAGTAGGACCAGTACCTAGCTTCAGTTAGGGACATCCTCTGTGGTAATACATAAAGTGGACAAAGGTTGGTAGGTGATTATCTTTTTTTCTTTCTTTTTTTTTAAGAGTCTTTGGCAATCTCTACATATATAGTGAGCCAACATATACAATACAGTTAAACTTTAAGTAAAACTTGTACGAGGACACTTTCATTTTCAATGTCAATGTTGGAAAACTGATTGTACAGTGTTTCATCACTCAGGTGTCAGAGCATGGAGCTAGAAAAGGCCAATCAGCTCGAACAATTTATGTCCCTTGCAGGAGTACAGACAAAAAAAGGCTAGGGTCGGCAGGTTTTTCCAGGGTCGGTCAGGAAACACAACATTTTTTCCTACGCCTAAATGTACATATACCAGTAACAATGCTCAGAAATGTTGCCCCAAATGTACATGAAATGTTGAACTAAAAATGTCTACCTTTTGGCACTGTCCTCTCCCTCCTGTTCCTCCCCTGCCAGGTTCTGGGCCTGTTGTTTGACCACATCAGAACAGTCCTTCAGTCTGCCTGCCCTCCAACCATCTATAACAACAACACAACAACACACAACTTCACAACACAACTTCACAAGCCAATCACACGTCTCCTTTCTCACTACTGGTAGGATAACAACCAACCATAGCCCATGTTACATTCTTTTCTCACTACTGGTAGGGTAACAGCCAACCATAGCCCATGTTACATTCCTTTCTCACTACCAGTAGGATAACAGCCAACCATAGCCCATGTTACATTCCTTTCTCACTACTGGTAGGATAACAACCAACCACAGTCCATATTACATTTCTTGCTCACTACTGGTGGGATAACAACCAACCATAGCCCATGTTACATTGTGGCTGAGTTTTGTTTGGGTGAAGAGTTTCATTACTTCACACTTTCTTGTTTTCCTTTGGAATTGATGAAATGAAGACTATTGTTCATCATACCACGAACATGTGATTAGTCATTTGTTCAACCTTCATGACCACATAGATTTCCTACTGATGGCAACTTTTTTTTATTTGCATGCTCACATTAGTTTTGGGGTTCCTAGAGAGGATACCATCTACATGATCAAATAAACATAGCCTTATCTGAAGCCTAACAGAAATGTAGCAATGACAGAAATGTCTCTCCCACCTTTCTGTAGTGTATGCAGGATGACTGCAGCGGCATAGTGTCCAGGTAGGCCCTGGAGTGCACCAGACTCTGCACAGTGACTCAGCTCCTCAACAAACAGCCTGGATAAAACAGTGTACAACAACACAATTATCTTTGAACAGTAACTTCCAACACAAGAGATTGGACTTGCCCAAAACACAGTCTGTGGGGTTGTGTGGCGTAAAGGTACAGTGTTCGTCTCAGACCCAAGAGGTCCCAGGTTTGAATACTGCCTGATGCCACAGATCTTGTATCCTTGAGAAAGACACTTTACACGACTTTCCTCACTTCATTCAGGTGGAAATGAGTACCTAGGATTGGGGAGAGCCACACCCCATGCACGTTCAAGAACCCACCACACTTATCGAAAAGAGTAGGGGACCTTCTTGATGTGAGTGGTTCAAACCTTACAGTCTGGTCTTACGCAGCTTGTACTTACATGTACAAAACTGGACCAGGTGTGTTATGCCTGAAAAGGCATTTTACCGGTTATACAAAACAAACAAACAAAATGTTCCTGTACTTACCTAGCCGAGGCAGCGTTGATGTTCACAGTTGACAGCAGAAAGGCCGACAAGGTAGGCAGGTCGGAGATACGGTCACACGAGCCGAACTCGGCGCCCTTCCGCACGGCACTGGTCATCTCCGCCACCACCGCGGTCATGATGGTGGCCATGAAGTCCTGGCGCAGGTTCTGGTTCAGCGATCGCCGGTTTACGTGGGCACGGACGATGGTTTGAAAGGAACTTTTCATCTCCTGTAGCCTCTGCACAGAGTTCGGAAGGATAGAAGGAAAAATCATGTCAAAGCCTATGCACAGACATCATTCCTAGCAATGGGAAGATGACAACGATGAGACGGAATTAGACCGGTTTTGACTTTATTCAGTCTTAATCAAGAATGACAGAGATCAGACCACTCCTCCTTTTATACTTTTACCGTGCCTCTATAGTGCAGGGCGCTCTGCTCAAGTTTTAGATATTGACCAATCAACATTAGGTATCTCATTTTGCCCTGGTTTAGGCTGGATTGCCCTGACATGGAGGTCTAGTTCACTATGCACTGAGTACTATGCACTAGGTTAGGTTGCCATGCACAGAAGCCTATGCACAGAATACTGTAGATCAGGATTTTTTCCCACTGTACTTTTATATTCGCAGTTTAGGCGCCGGTCACTTCTGTACCCAGAACTTATCATTACTGACAACAAATGATTTGCCAACTTTCTTTTTGCTGCACCTGACGCCACCGTGAACGTATAGTTCCAGGAACATGTCAATTTTTCTCAGACCACGGACTTTTGCTACCATGAACATAAAGTGATTTACAGTTGTCTATAGTTTGCAATTGGTGCAACTATTCATAGAACTCAGCATTTTCTTTTCAGCGCACCCTGGCAATAGACAACAGAACTGCAGATTATGTATCCTCATGTAGCACATAGGCAGAACGTACTGCACCTGCGCAAAACCTTGTTTTTTTTTTAGTTTTTTGTTGGATTTTTGGTCACCGTTGCATTAGAATTTTGCCTGTTGCAGGCAATATATCTTCCGACACAACATTTGGAAACTTTCTTCTTCATCGACCCAATGAGAGAAACCGTGAGAAGAATCAACAACTTACCTGTCTTGCATGTTCCTTCTGTCTGCGTACGAGGTAGACCTGTGTCTGGATGATGCTCTCCAACACGCGAGGCACCAGGTCCTGCATCCTGTTGTCATGTGGAGACACGGCCGTCACATCCACTACACGACACGTCAGCATGCACACAGGCGACAGGAGATCCAGGGCTGAGTCTACAACCACAGACAAAAAAGTACATTTTCTCAGGAAAATGGCTGAAAAATTACATTGAAAGTCTTAAGGGATAAACATGAAATGTCAGTTGAAGCATGCATTTGAACTACTTATTACACATGTATGTCATTTTCACTAAATGCACCCACTTATTCCAAATTGTATCTCTATTGTATAGCCCGTATAGCCGCCCTTCGGCATAACACACCAGCTTCGCAGGCACGTGGCATGGAGGCAGCTGGCTATATTACACCATACAACCTGTTACACCCAATCTTTGCACATTTGTACTTGGTGGCAACAAGCTCCACTCTACGATAGTTCTAAAAAAGAGTTTTTGAAATATGCCCGTTGATGAAGGTTAGACATCCAGGTAATAAGATATGCCAAAAAACAGACCCTGACGAAACGGTAGTGGATGGCACCTGAAACCTGTTTCCAAATCGAATCCTGTTGGTTGAGTAACTGTTGAATTGTACATATCTGACCTGTGCTGAGAGTAGTTCCTGCTAGCTTCAGTAGAGCACAGCACTGATCATCTGACAACAGGCAAAGGAGGACCAAGTCACCAGCTACCTGGAGAACAGTCTGAAAACACAACAACTTCAGCTGTTTAGTCACTATTTTAGACATCCATGCGTGCATGTTTTCGTCAGTTTCCAAAAAAGTTTTCGACAATACCGTAAATCGCACAAAGCAGCTGCAAAATTAGCAAGTACATGTATATGCTGTAAGTTGCAAATAAAATATAGCATAACGACACTAATGTCATAGAAATCAATTCCAAAGGAAAAGAGGAAAATGTTAAGAGATGAAAATAAATATCACTCAGAGCAAAACAATGTTTTCCTTCTGCGAAGTTGAACATAAGGCCATACCAATTTAATTGGTTGTTTCTCAGATTTTTCAGAAAAAATATGAAGCGACAGGGCGAAAAAAAAACAAAAAACAGGCCAAGGCTGCCCATGATAGCCAGAAATATTACAATATGAAAAAAATGGGCAGGCAAATCTGAGAAACAACAAATTAAATTGGTGTGGCTTAATGTGATATTGCACACTGTCTAACCTGTATAACATTGACAGCGAACACCCCTGTTGCTACGGTGTTGGTGGCACCCTGGCTGTTTTCGTTGTCAGGACGGCTGAGTGAAGGAACAACCTTCTGCTCTGCCCAGTCCAGGATCTGACTGAAGAACTCACTTGTAGGTGTCTCATTCTAAAAAAAAAGTTAAGGCAATAAAATACAATGTATGGTTATGCACAGCTGGCAGCGTTTTTTTAGTTTGGTTGTTGAGTCTAAAGAGTAAATGTTTTGGGGTTGAATCCTTAGCTCCCAACTGATGTTGTGCCTTTTAGAAAAGCACTTTACATGTATCCTTCTTTTGGTCTTTAAACTTAGTGATTAGGTATTGTGGACCTGTACCTTAGTAATAGGGGTGGGTACCGGTTCAGTCGGACCGGTTTGGACCGGAACAACATTCAAGAACCGAGTCCAAAAAACCGAAACGTGAAAACCGGATGACCGGACCTGATGTACATTTCTGTAGATTGTACACACAACACACACATCTTTAGATAATCTGGCCATGGCAGGTAAAAAAAATAACCCTGAATCATACTAGATCAGCCTAAATCCATGTTTATGCGTTCAAAAACGAGAAAAAAAAATGTTTCCCGGTATTTCTCTTGAAACACGGCGCTGAATATTGACGCAAAAACATTTCGTGCACGGCGAGCCCTCCCCCATATTGTTTAGACTGTGACGCAATCCCGCGTCACGTGTCGGCATTTCGCATCTCTGATTGGTTGTTGCGCCACTTTTCTTTGTTCGATATCGGCGCTAAAATTCTATTTTCCACAACCACACATAGATATTCTAGTGAAGAAATGCATAGTTTCAAGAATCTTTGGGGAAAATATATGCTTCTATGCGGATTTTTAGCGTTTTCGACGTGATTTTGTCGTCACTTAACCCGGAAGTGTGGACCGCGGCGTGGCTAAATTTTTAGCGTATTTTACCCTGCGTTTTACCAATCAAAACAATAAACAACCCCCGCTAAGAGAACCCTGTAACATTTTAGATCGCAGCAATTAAGTATTTGATCAAATTATTTGTGGATGTGCTGGCATTTCAGCCGTATTATTCATCGGGAAAAGCGGCCTCATGCACGGCCGTGTCGTGTACACGAAGAAATTGTGTCTCGCTTGCCAAAATATGATATACTATACTACTGTACAATAATCAGGTCCGGTTCAGGTCCGGACCTGGACCTGATCCTCTGAACCTGATCCGGACCTGGACCTGAATTTTCTATACCGGTACCCACCCCTAGTACCTAATCTTGGAGAGGAGATAGGTGCCGTCAAGATTATAAGCCTACAGAAACATCATGGCGCAAGTCCAGACATGCTGCTGGCTGTCATGATGCCCCTACGGTTATGGGTCTTACATACATACATACATACATACCTAATCAAGTTTTGCAATACAGTACTGGCACTGTGTACCGGTACACAGTTCTACTACAGGTGTACCTTCTGTTGCAGGTGTACTTGTATCAGACAGTTCTACTAAAGGTGTACCTTCTGTTGCAGGTGTACTTGTATCAGACAGTTATACTACAGGTGTACCTTCTGTTGCAGGTGTACTTGTATCAGACAGTTCTACTACAGGTGTACCTTCTGTTGCAGGTGTACTTGTATCAGACAGTTCTACTTCAAGAGTACCTTCTGTTGCAGGTGTACTTGTATCAGACAGTTCTACTACAGGTGTACCTTATGTTGCAGGTGTACTTGTATCAGACAGTTAGATACTACAGGGGTACCTTCTGTTGCAGGTGTACTTGTATCAGACAGTTAGATACTACAGGGGTACCTTCTGTTGCAGGTGTACTTGTATCAGACAGTTCTATTACAGGTGTACCTTCTGTTGCAGGTGTACTTGTATCAGACAGTAGGACTGCAAGGCCCTCAGCAGGAAGTCGTCCGACAGAAGTTCTTGGGTCAGGGGTCGTCCTGTCATCAGACGATCGTCAATACAGGCCTGCCCGCCGCAAAGAAAAAACAAAAAATCACTTATGTTTAACAAAGCTAGTATGTCGGCAAAAAGATACGCTAAAAAACAACTCAAGCAACTGGATATGATTTTGGAAATGGTCACACGTTTTAGGTAGCGTCAAACTAACCTTCGTCAGTGACACTGGTGAGATCTCAAGATCAACAGGTTTATAACTACAACCTATCAATTGCAAGTAAAGTGAAGAGAATTTTTTGATAATCCAATAGGAAACAAAAGTTACTCAAAGTCAGGACAAGATTGACGCAAATAAATCAAATAGCTCCTGTTGTTTCAGAACAGGAGGCTAAGTGTTGTCTGTCATATTTCAAGCACTGAATAAAACTGGAAGCACTCACCAGAACTTGATGAAGTTTATCGCTGATCGTGGCCAGCTGTTCAGTGTGTACTTCCAGAGCACACTCCCGACACAGGTACTCAGACAGGATATAGTCCAGCATGTCCAGTGCTAACATGGGCTGGGGCTGGTGTGGGTCCACAAACATCACTCTCTTCTTCTTCTTACCCTTCTTGTCTTCCTGTAGTGTTTACAAACAGCAGAGAATGTTAAATTTAAATGTTTGGTGATATTTATGTTTACTGAAGGAAAACATATTGTTTTTGCTGTTTCACCTTCTTCTTCTTCTCCAAACCAATAAGGTCAATGACCTGAACCAGACTTCTGTCACCATGGTAACTGGTGTTGGGTTACATCATGTTTCAATTTTATAGCAGGAGGGATTTAGACTCCTGTCACCATATATAGGAATGTGTTTAGAGTAAGAATTAATGTTAACAGAGCAGACCATATGCGAAGGTAAACATTGTGCATTTGCCTTGCAAATGTTACCTTAAGTTTCTAGTTCTAGTGTTGTTTTAACAATTGAAATCTTAAAACTAGAATGCATGTCTAATGTAGAATAACTGTAAGCAATTTTTATAACTGACCTTATTGTCATCTTCAGCCTTCTCGCCGTCCATTGCAACGGTCAGCCATTCGGTCACCAGCTCCAGGACATCCCCCAGCCGGCCCCAGTTGGCCAGACAGGTGACCAGTGGCCCAAACTCTACGGCCGGTGTCGGCCAGGTCATCCCCTTCAGCTTGGACACCACACCACAACTAAAAGTCACAATAATAACATCTTTTATTAGTGACTGAGAATGAATTCTTTCATCATTTTGTATTAAAGAATCTCCTACCTGTATGTTTAACTACTATAAATCACTTTGTTTGCTGTAGAAAAATTATGTGGTCTGAAAAAAATTGACATGTTTGCAAATTATAAATTTGCATTGGCGGCAAGTGCACATTCAAGAAAGTTGTCGAATTTGTTCATGGTAATGATAATTTCGAGGTACAGAAGTGATGGCAAAAAATATGAATATAAAAGTACTGCAAATATAAAGTGATTTACAGTATTATTTTGTCATTGAACTTTAAGTGTAGCTACTGGCCTGGTATCCAAGAATTATCATAATTTCATTATCATAATACAAGTTACCATGGCACATACATGAATATGTTACTAAATGTTATCCTAATTTACCTGAATGTAGGAATAGTATCGGCTTTCAGGAAACAAGCCAGCTGAACCAGTGCATGGTGACAGCGTGCATCCTGGGTAAAAATTAAAAACAGTAAATTTCAGGCGATCTTTGCCACAACCAAACTCAACAAAGTTAGACTTTTCACAACTCTAAACCACAACCTTTTATGCTAGCAGTAATACCCCTTAAAACATGGACCAGTCCATATACTTACATGGAACACTTTCAGAAAGTCAGGCAGGCATCGCGCAAACTTGTTTCGCAGCTTCTGTTTCCATTCCCCATTTCCTGGCTGAAATGTAAAAATCAAAATCAACATTTATGACAATCAAGAATAAAAAGTGTAACCCAAAGTCTTTGATGACAGAGACAATATGAAATTCTATCAGAGCTTTGAATTCTATGGCTTATTTGTTAATAGGTGCTTCAAACGTAAATGAATTTACAGAATACAGTACTGAAAAAGTTTCTTCAGTAGTTTAGAGCAACAGATTACATACTAGAGTTAGTTGCGTACCTGTGAAAGCTCTCTGGTACTGGCTGACCAGAGGAGGGCCATGGCCTCTAGTAGCCCAGCCATAGTGTTGGTGTCTGCCACGGTCAGCTCCTCATCTGCATAAAAACATGGGCTTGTGAGTTGCTGATGTCTCTCAAGTCTGCTGAAAGGTAGGCACTGATTGGCTGGAAATGTAGGGTCACACCACCAAATAAGGTAAGCTCATGAATATTCATATCTGTGAGATGGGCACTGATTGGCTGGAAATGTAGGGTCACACCGAAAAAAGAGGCAATTTCAGGAATATTCATTATTTGTGGGACAGCCAGCCGCACTGATTGGCTGCAAGTTTAGGGTTGCACCAATAAGGTAAGCTCATGAATATTCATAACTATGAGGGCCAGAAAGATACACAAAGTATCTTCAACCTTCAACTTGCTACCAAACTCTGTAGCTAATAAGAACTGGAGCCATTCATTCATTCAAAGGGTCACCTTAACAGGAAAATCTTAGACATTACCTGAGACATTTTCCTTATCCTCCAGATTTTCCTCGGTGTTGTTTGGGTCGGCAGCCAGTGCTCGTAAGGCTAGCTGCCACACATAGTGACACAGTAGCAGCATGTACTTCACTGTTATTAAACAGAACAAACAAGGAAATTAGATCTAGGTAAAGTCACTGACTTTAACTTTGGCCATCATTAATATACATGTATGTACTAGTATGTATTAGCTATCACAAAATGCCAAAGAAGACCAACTACTGACCTAGGGGACTGATAAAATTTGGTCTATGTGGACAGGTGGTCACTACAGACAAGATTCTTACTAGTATTTTGTCAATCACTCGGTGGGAAAATTATCTTAGGGACTGCCAAAAAGTGGACATGTAGATTGACAAAGACTACAAACCCTCATGCCATGGCAAAAGAATCTCTCCCACTAACAAACAAACAAACTGACCTGTGTCTCCGATGGCCATACAGTTGGGTGCCAGCTGGAAGAAGCGCCTGGCTGCCTGCGGGTTTTCCTCCACCAGGTAGATCGCTCTCTCCAGGATTTTTGCGTTGTCCTTTTGCAGCGGAACGAAAGAGTTGAAGAGCAGGGTGACCAGGATGGTGGCAGTCGGTGTCTTGTCTACCGCGATACGGGCCATGATGTGATCCAGGGGGACAACATCCCAGAACTATGGCAAACAAAAAACTTTTTTCAGTCAAATAAAAAATAATGTCACGCAATATACTGTATATGGTGTCAGGAGTCTAAATCCCTCCTGCTATAAAATTGCAACATGATGTACATGTAACCCAACACTAGTTACCATGGTGACAGACGTCTGGTTCAGGTCATTGACCTTATTGGTTTGGAGAAACAGAGCAAAAACAAATAAATTGTTTTCCTTCAGTAAATAAACATAATGAAAAAAAAACGTAATTTACAGTAAAACTTGACCCTGACTGACCTTGATGGCACGGACGCTCTTGACCTTGAGCAGCAGCTGTGCGAAGGCCAGGCGGACTTTCTCCGACTTGTCGTGGATGTTGTTCCTCAGACGAGGCAGCATCGTCTTCAGCACGGGGTGGCTCAGGGGACACTGTTCCAGTACAAACATGATCCCCTAGCAGGATGCAAAGGAACTGCAGATTAGTCGGTGAAGGTTAGACATCCAGGTAATATTAATAAGATACTCCAAAAAACAGTTGCTTGAGTAACTTTTGAAAAGTGCGACGTTTCCAGCATCATCTACTTCTTTTCGACAGTGACTGGCCACCTGAAATGTCTGACAGCTTTTCAAAATCTATCGATTTGCTTGAGTAACTGTTTTCTTGTAGGCCTTAGGCTATTCTTGAAATTAAAATCTGACAATGCAGCAAAATAAATATTTGTAAAGTGATTCTTAAAAGTCAGACCTTGAAGACAGCTGCCCTTTTTGCCCTTTGACAGCTTTTCAAAATCTATTGATTTGCTTCAGTAACTGTTCCTGTGTACAATAGGGCTTGAACCTTGTCAGATTTGAAACAAAAGCCTTAGGCTATCCTTTAAAATCTGACAATGCAAGAAATATTTGTCAAGTGCTTCTTAAAAGTCAGACCTTGAAGACAGCTGCCCTGACGTCAGCCGAGTTACAGTCGTTGGCCATGTCATCGACGACTTTCTTCAGGAAGTCATGCGCGACGGTGGTTGGGATCAGCTCCCAGTACATGCCCACGATTCGGCACACTCCGCGAACAGCAATCATTCTCAGCATGGGTTCAGGATCCTCCAGCAAAGACTGCAAGAGGATACGTAATTCACTACAAAGATGACATTTGCAAAGCAAATGCAATGTTTACCTTCACGTGGTCTAACCTAATAAACTACATTGTACTGCTCTATTTATTCTTACTCATACACATTCATATAAGGTTACTAGTATATGGAACCAGCCCCCCAGCTCTTAAACTTAGAGAAACGCTGTCATAATGAACAATGTTTACCCAAATGTGTTGACCTCCAATAAATGTCTTTCTCTCAGCTCTTACTATACTACTTACCCAGAGGATGTCCATCTGTTTCTGCATGTTTTGGTCCCTCTCCTCCACAGGTGCATCAGGGATCTGCAGAGGGAAGGCATCTACCAGCAGCAGAGCTGCGTTGGTGCGCACAGCTGCGTTTGCCACCTGGAGGAACCAAAAGATTGGAATAGTGATGCATACCTAAACCCACACTTAGGTTCAGGTCCAGATTCAAGTCCAGAGGTTTAGGTTCAGTTCCGGACTTATGGCATATACAAAATTGCATGTTGGCAACCTTGTAATGTTGTCTGGGCAAAACTTTGGCCACATAACATGGAGGCCGGTACTTGACGTTGCCCGATAGCAATGTTTTCTTCATTTTGCAGCAAAGATTTTGCAATCTACGGAAGGTTTTAGGTGGTTTTGGGAAGAAAAGAGGTATGTGAAATGGTCTTTTATGGTAATAAGTCCGGACTCGGTTGTTGACTTTTAGTCCGGATCTAAGTCCAGTGAACCGGTATGCATCACTACTTTTTTATGACTTTCAAACCTTGGTGTACTGAAACCTTCCATACAGAAATGCGAAGGTCTTACATGAATTATAAACCAGCCTGGTATGCTGACTTTATGGCTCTTATCATAGCATTCACAGCTGAGCTACCATAGGATACGTAAGCCTGTATTATCCCCCTGTTGCTGACACATTTTTTCTGAAAACCAACAAATTAATTGGTGAGGCCTTGGTAAAACTTAGACCATGTTAATTTTATTACAAGTATATGGATGGCATCCTCTGGGAACCCCAAATATGATGCATGCATGTGCAGATGTCATCCATAATAATCAAATCAAAATAGCCTTTAGTATACAGAAACCTGCTTTAGTACCAAGCACAAGTGTATACCTTGAGAGACCTCCACAGTATGGGTTTGTACAGTGTGTAGAGCATGTCGTCTACTCCAGGTCTGTGTTTCTGCTGGTGGACAGAACTCAGAAGCTGTAAGACAGTAAGTAAAAGTACAAAGTAAGTACAAACAAAACTTCACTCTCACTGGTACTGGATACTGTTCTTTTGGGCATTTAGACTCTGGTTTGGAGCCAACAGTACTTTTCTGTAACCACTTTTGGTTTACAATGTACGACGTTTGCTTTACAATATTGTTTCTAGTAGTACATGTACATTTCTGTTCAACAAAGCACTCAGAGTTGGCAGACTTTCAACATACTGCTTTGAAACCCTTCCACTTCACCAAAGAAAATTCTGGGGACTGAAAAAAAAGGGGAGTACGTACCAGTTGAAGGTTTTCTGACAGAGGTTTTGGGCCGGAGCGGTTGGCATGGATGGCCAAGTACATCAGGTCTTGCAGACAGATCTCAATTTTCTGTATCAAAAAGACATATCATTACTGTCAAGAAATACTTGAAATCCTAGTACACTTCTGTATCAAACTAATAACACAGACAGCTATGTAGTTGTTATTGATTATTGCTTTGTAATTTTATGCTAGTTGTAGTCTAATGGATGCAAGTGTTATGTTATGTTATGTTATGTTCTGTGCCTTAATTTGTATTATATTTGTGTACTGTTTTATGAATCCAGGAAGAATAGATTAGATTTGATATCTAATATAATGGATATCTAATAAAACATCAAACATCAAACAGACAGAATAACAACCGTTTACTACTGCAGTCATACAATTTGTATATACTTTTTTATACATAAACTTTAAACTTTAATTTCCTTCAGTAATTTTTTTTTAAAACTTGCTAAGGTAGAAAAGGTCCTTGTGTTCATGAAAGAATAGTAAGTGAGTTCTCCTTCTACTAAGTGTACCATCTTACCTCCCTGAATAAGCCATCAGATATGTTCCAAGCATGGAAGTAGATTTCACCGTAGTACTTCAGTACAGTCCTGTAGATAAACATTTATCAACGTGTTCCAAGTTTTCACTGTGGTAATATTATCATAAGCCTGATAAACCATGTAATATAAAAACAGACACCTTAGTTTCAAGACTTGATTTACTAGTATTACAGGCATTTTTCTACACTACCATTATGTGTAAACTTTAATTTGCAATTTGTGCTCAAATGCTTATTGTAAGTACATAAACATTGTAAGACATACACGTGACAAGAACAGTTGTTTTTAATAGAGTAATTCAAGTACTGGTGATTATAATGATTATAGACTAATTGTACTATTCCTTACTTAGAAGCTGCAGGTAGCTGGTTCTTTATAGTCTTGTGCAGCTTGTCTGTGAAGTTAGGATGGAGTCCAAACAGGAACGTCAAGAATCGACGACCCTGCAAAAGACAGAGCACTACTTTTCAGTTCCAGCCCATTTTTAGGTAACAAAAGGTATGGTAGCCTTTGAAGCAGTAGGAGCAGTGGGTCTTTAATGTGTCTAGTAAGGGCACAATATTTGAAGGTGGAGCCCATCCCTCTCCTTCCACTGCCTTTTACCTCCCCAACCAAAGTCAGGAACATTTTACACCTGGGTGGAGTGAAGAAAGTTGTGAGTTTCATATCCCAAGGATATACATATACACATTCATATATATCATGACCGTGCATGCCCTCTTGAATTGCATGGCACTTGCAACATTATGTAACTCAACACCAGTTACCATGGTGACAGACGTCTGGTCCAGGTCACTGGCCTTATTTCTTTGGAAGGGAAGAAGAAGAGGAAGAAACTGAGCAAAATTGGTGTGGCCTAAGACAAATTTCAGCACATATGAGAAAGAGTATGGGAAGGTCAAACACACAGCACTACCAGCGGACTACATTTGTGTAGCCCCCTGCTGTAGTGCATTGCACAACTGTGTGTCGCCCAAGGGCTACAGAAATGGATATGGGCACCACCCTATGCTCTGCATAAGGGCATGGGAGACCTTTCTTCTTCTTTCTTTCTTTCTAAGACAAATTCTTCTATTCTGACCTCAGCAGCTCCGAGGTAGGCCTTGTTGATGACACAGAGCATCAGCAGTCGCTGGAGTTCTTCCATGGTCTCATCCTGGTAGCTGAAGAGGTTGAGAACTTGTCGTAGACCCCAAACACGTCTCACACTGATCGCCTAAAAAAACGAACACAATCCTCAGCTGTATTACCATTCAAGGAGGTTCCTAGTTCTACTAAAAATGATCTTTGTCAATGAAAAACTATCAGAAAGACATCAGAAATATATGCTCTGCCACAGTCCGTAGTCGTCTCAAAAAAGTGAACAAGTTTAAAACATGGTTAGACAAACATTGGGAGAGTATGAAGTACAACACATGAGTAAAGTTCGTGAGACGGTATCAAGGTATCAATATCTCCACAACTCCAATTTTATCTACATTTGTACTACAGTACTTTATCCATGCTAACCATGCTACATTGTAATGTAACTGTAAAAGTTTACTGAAACTTTTCGTACAGTATATAATTTTACAGTCTAACACACAAAAGTTTAACACACAGTTTCTTACCTTTGCTTTGAACTCTAGACTCTGCTTCAGAAAGAAAATCATGGCGTTGTACACGACATTCTCCTTCTGACGAAGATCCTTCTGCCACCTGGTAACCAAGAAAGTAATACAGAACAACACGTATGTCTACTTAGCAACAGGTAGAAGAACCATCAATAAAAAAAACATCATAACACTGGAGAGGTAACATGTTTTTCTTGCAAGGTAAATACCTAACAAAAGCACTACCCTGTTTATTCTTACTCAAACACACTCATTTTAATGGTGACCACCCCTCCAACTCTGTACTGTAACTTGCTACATAATGTAACCTAACACCACAGTTGTCTGCTACAACACCAGTTACTAGGGTTACAGCCATCTGGACTAGGTCATTGACCTCATTTGTTTGGAGAAGATGAAGAAATGGAGCAAAAGCAGTATGGTTTCTATCTGTGAAAGTAAACATAGATATGTATGTGAGTGTGAGTATATAGTTTGCTATACCATTTTTCACACAGGGTGCTGATCTGAGTCTTTAGCTGTACAGCTGCTTCAGGAAGGGATGGCAAAACACCTGGAGAAAAAAATCACAGAAGAGCTTTGAGCTTTGCAAAAGACTGCATAATGTTTACCTTCACCTGGTCTCACCCAACAAACTACTGCACTGTTCAATTCAGTTCATTCTTACTCAAAGTCACATGGATTGTAAGCAGGCTCTCCAACTCTGTTCTGCTACATAATATAACCAGTTTGATTGACAGTTGCCATGGGAACAGTACCCACCATGCAACACCAGTACGGTGTCCTCCAGCGTGTCGGGGACGACGGGAGACTCCTGGCTGATGGCGATGGTTGCCATGGTGATGACACCCTGCACGATGTCGACAGCCTTCCTCACAACCTGGAAAACACACGCCGTATCAATCAGACCATACATGTAAGTTGCAAAACTGTCAACTATGACTAGCAAGAGTGTGGACTAGTGCTGTGTGCCGCTTTGCTAGAACTAGTTCCAGATTTACAAAAAAAATCATGTCACATTCTCCTTTTTGTTCTAAACCACCTGAAATCTTCAAAGTTCACTAGTCAAAAATTTATGCTGCAAACTTGAGAAAACATTGCCACTGGGTATCTTCAAGTGTCGGACCCTGTAAATTATGTGGCCAGTTTTGCCCAGACATCCCTCACAAACAACTTATCTTGCTTCTAATAAACCCTGGTAGTGCAGTGCTCGCTACAAAAGTTTGCGGTTAAGATGCCCCATTTTCCATTGGGAAATGTTCACTGAAAAGTCCCTTCTGTATTTTGTATATGCCCTGAGTTTTGGTCTGGACTGGACAAAATTCAGATCTAGACCTGAACCTAAACTTCTGGACTTGAATCTGGACCTGAACCTGAATATGGGTTTATGTACATAGCCCTAGTACAGGTTTGTACATTGTATATACTATCATAATAATAGGTTTTGCTGACATTCTAAGTACCTGTATGTGTTGCGCCCCAAGAATTTTTTCTGTGCACCTAAATGACTTGCACTTCTTCTCAAAAATAAATTTTGAGCTTTTATTTATTTTTATTTATTCCTTTGGCTGTAAAAAGACAAATTCTACAGCCAGGGCAGTCCAACTAGCCAGACAGGTATTATTAAGGGCTTGCCCTGCTGACAAGACAAATATTTACACATACATTACAACAATACAACACATCAACGTGGAGAGGTCAGGGTCACACACCTAAGGCTTATAGGGGTCACCTAGAGAGTCCCATAGCTTCCTTTTGAAGGAGGCAATAGTGGTGGCAGTGCGAGCGTCAGTGGAAAGAGTGTTCCAGAGTGACGTTGCTCGGTGGAAGAGCTTTTATACTACAGACCTGTTTCCTCTCAGCCATGGGAAGTTGTTCTAGTTGTGGGTCGTCCTCGGTGAAGGGTCCAGTCATGATGTGATGGTTACACACCTGCTGCAGGCTAGTCCACAGCTTCAAACGTCGGCCTCCGTAAATTATGTGGCCACAGTTTTGCCCAGATGTGCCCCACAAACAAAATATCTTTCTTCTAAACCCTGATAGTGCACTGCTTGTTTTTTGCAGTAAAAATGCCTCATATTACTTACAAGTAAGGACCTGAACCTAAACCTAAACCTATGGACTTGGACCTGAATGTGGGTTTAGGTACACAGCACTAGTTCACACACTCACAGTGAAGAAGTGAGCGTGAAAACTACTAAAAATTGTGATTTATCATATTTTGAGCCCCAGAATTCTACAGACCTGTTTCCTTTCCGCCATGGGTAGTTGTTCTAGTTGTGGGTCGTCCGCGGTGAAGGGCCCAGTCATTATGTGATGGTTGCACACCTGCTGCAGGCTGGTCCACAGCTGCAGCACCTGCCTACGGTTCAGCGCCTGATACAGCTCCAACAGGTCCAGCTGAGAATTTCGGTCATCCTGAAAAAAAAAATCATGGTCTTTTTGAATTTAAAAATTGACATGGTATCCTGTGTCAGCCATGTTTGTTTACATTCTGGTGTTTTGTGGTAGTGCCACAAAATGAGCTTGTTTGGGATGTTTAAGTGCCAATCAGAAATGTTGAAAAGTCAAAGTTTTCTTCCTTTTGCAGTACAGATTTTGCGTAAGTCCGGACTCGGTTCTTGACTTTTAGGTTTTTTTGGACTTGAACCTAAACATTTTTACAAGTCCGAAACCATTCCAGCAAACCGGTACACAGCACTCACGCCACTCAGTAAATGGCAATGACATGAAGACTTTTGCATTTCAAAATATTTCAATTTTGAATTTAAGAATCTACAGTTGTGGTAGAAGTTGTAGCACCCTAATATTGTAAAAAGTATTTTATAGTATGATAACAGTGGTGTCACTATGGACAAGTGGCCACCAAAACCAGCAATATCACAAATACAAGGAAGATATTCTGTGTATCTTACGTGAAGTTTTAGATAGTTTGCGAAGCTGTCAGCAGAAGGTGCCTCCTGCTTCAGAACCTGGAGAAACTTGTCCCTATGAAGTACAGTCTCCACACTTTCCTCTACTGCTGCTGACATGGTCACCTGGGCAAAGGGAGAGACAACAAACTTTTGTAAGGCCATGTTGATTTGATTCTATAGATGAAATCCTCTGGGAACCCCCAACCCCATGGCATATGATCATGCGAATAAAACAAGTTTGACAAAAAAGTTGCCGTCATTATGAAATCTATGTGGTCATGAAAGTTGAAAAGGACTAAACACACATCTAGTGTAGTATGGGGAAAATATTTAGTATAAATAAATTACTAATAGACCATTTTTAAACTTTCATTTCTTCACATTTCCTTCTTTGAGCTTGGGATTCTACAAAATAAGTATTTTCTTTTTTTTTTGCAATTTCGGAATATATTTGTTCTAAATTATGCAAAGTTTTTGCAGTTCATTATAATTTTACAACTACAAAATCTACAAAACAGAGAAAAAAAAACAAAGAAAACATTGACCCCACAAAAAGATGCGATTATAAAAGTGATTGATAACCAGAGAAGATCTGTATAGATACTAAATGTCTGACAATAACGCGTTCGTAAATATGAATAAATAATAATAATATTTTCTTCACACAAAAATTCATCCTTGGTGCGCCCCCCTCCCCACATAGGCATCCTCAACTTCAAACTCAAACAAACTCGTCATTTTACTTTGAACTACACGCCAAAAATGGAAAATATGATTCTAGAATTACTTACAAGTTATTCAATAACCCAACAGGATAGGAAAAAAGGCGAAAACTTCGTCTTGGAGCAGTTTTTGTCGATTGTTGGACGACGTTTTGCTGATTTGGCTGTTGGGAACAAAATAGAAAATGGCGCCTTTTCCGAACTCTGCCGAAAAATCCCGAACTTTGCCGAATGCACTCTTGTTCCCATGGTGTAAACTAAACAACCTAACAACTTCAAAAAATGTTAACTTGGTTACAAAATTAACGAAATTATTCTTTAACTATCTGATATTTAGATTAACACCGTAGTATTTTGATAACTTATTCGTCGGAAATTGTCGGAGAGGAGGCAATTGTGTGACATTTAGAACCTGAGAACGAGAGCTTTTGTTTATTACCTGGTTGCTAACGAGTAACAAAGAGAAGCCAAGATGGCGGACAGAAGAAGAAAGTTCACCGCCGTGTTATTCTGAACCTTTTCTTTTGTTTTACACGACTGACAGGTAAGATTTTCTCACGAATTCCTTCCTCCAGAAAGATTGTCAATGTCATTACAGAAATATGTGAGTTTTTGGCACCGTAATGTGAGTTTTCGACAGCAAAAGCGAACTTCTTGAAGTTGTCTCGAAGTGATTTTAGGTCAAGACGATTGACGTAGAAGAAGGTTTCAAGTTACGTTCGTACGCAACGACGTCGGACTATAAGATGTGCTCTTCTTTTTCTTGACAACTATCCTTAACGCTGTGCATGTTTAATGCTTATGTGTCACAATCTTGGTATTCACGATATATATTAGTTGGTTTCTTTGTATTTTGTTGGTAAATCTGTCAAAAGTTTATATAAAACGTGTAGCTATGGACTGCAAGAGAAAGAAATGGCGTACAATGGAACTGGTGTGGAGAGAAAAACATTGACTCAAAGTTATTTACTAAGGCTTTGGAAAAATCACTGCTAAATCCTTTCAATTATTGAAGGTAAAATCATTCTATCATAATTCACATGACACCCCCCTCCCCAAACCATCCTACCAAGTTGTAACTAAATACTAGTAGCCTAGTTGGTGACTTGCAAAAGGTGTCCAGGATTGGTAGCAAAGTGGGTCACAATGCAATCATGTTTAGAATTGCTTAAGATAAATATTCTAAAACTTTTAACTTGCAGTACGTACAAGTCACTATAATGGTTGCTAAGGGTTGTTGGGTAAAGATATATTTACCGTATACTAGTATACTATACTAGTGCATGTGTAAGAAACAAAAGGAGCGAGTAGGAACAGATAGAAACCCCTGGTCCCAGACAATGGTTCGAACCCACGACCTCCCGAGCACCAGCTTCATAAACCGACACTCTAACCACTCGGCTAAAAGGTCTAGACCCATTAGCTGGGTCAGTTGTTAGCACCTATTTATAAACCTCCCACTGTTACACATGCACATGTATATCTGACATGCCCTTTTTTCTATCTACAGACACTACCAGTTAAGATGGCGGACCGTCTGAACTCCATCCACATGAGCTACCCGCCGCCCGCCACGGCCCAGCGTCCCGTACAGCGCTCCATGATCAACGGGACAGCCAACGGTGTCGGATTCCCTGTCAGAGGTACGCAACTACATGTCAACCAATCAGGATCTCCGGTTATTAACATGGATGTTATAATCTATACTGTAAAAGAACAAAAATGCTAGTCTCTACCAGACTCCTTTGCAGGCTGAATAAATAGTAGAAATCGGCAAAGGGGGAAATCATTGGCCAGAGGAGT